CAGCGGTCTGTGGGGCCAGGGGTGGAGGGGGTGGCGACGGCCACTGCGTCCCTCGGGGAGGGAAACGCTGACTCGAATCTCGCGGTTTGTCACCTCTCTCTAGGTCGGCCGTCCACGCACCCGTTCCCCATGGCAGCGTGGTCCCGGGAGGCTGTCCTGACCCTCTATCGGGCTCTGCTGCGCCAGGGCCGCGGGCTGCGCTACACCGACCGGGATTTCTACCTCGCTTCCATCCGCCGCGAGTTCCGCAAGAACCGGGGGCTGCAGCGGCTAGAGGACAAGGAAAGGCAGCTGGAGAAGGGGCAAGCTTTCCTGCAGAGCAAACTCGGGGGCCTGGTTTAGGGATTCCCTGGAGCTCCTTTTGGCCTCACATATTTCCCTCTTCTATCCAAAATCTCCATGCCAACCAAAAGAGATGATTGACATTCCGTGCCCACCACTGTCTTGAAGGCAGTCTGGAAGGTGCTTCCACAGGCACACCAGGAGGGCTCTCCTGTTCTTTTCACAAATGCATTAGGTCACAGGTAGGTCATTTACAATGATATAACTATGTTCTTCATGCCGTTATTACAGTTAGTTTTGTGAAAGTGCGTTTTTTTCTGCCTAGGGATGAAGAGTGACTGAATTCCTGGTTCATCAAGGGAGAAACATTCTTCCTCAGATTGTAGCTTGGCCTTAGAAAAACTTAAGAGCAGTTTTAAACCACTCAAGTCAGGCAGGCTCTGAACCGTTGAAACTGACTTAGAAAACAGATCTTGAGTCAGGTTGGAAGGGTTTCCAGGCATTTTCATGTAAGGTCACTCAGGATCCACCTATGGGTGCAGTGATGGCAAAGTGTGTTTTATGTGTGTAGTTGGCCAGGGACACTTTTTAAGTTTAAATATCAGGATCAGGTTAAATGGGAATTGGAAGAAACAAAAGTACATATGTAAGAAAATATTAATTTTCATGTTATACATGATGTGGATGAGAGTCAAACGCACCAGCCTTGAGGGCAGTGAAAACAAGGGAGCTGTTCCTCTCGCAGTGTGTTGTGGTCTCTGCTGTTGATTCTTGGGTGTCTGGGACCAGCCATTGTCCAAAAATGACAGTGTCTGGAAGTGGACACTCTGAGACTGCCTGTCAACTGTTGAGAAGATTCTAGTTTGTCACAGAGAAGCAGTTGACCATCCCTGCATTGCCTTGTCTGTGAGCAAAATTACACACATTAGATTGAGAATAAGAGAATAAATGGACATTAAAAAAGCCGTGCTTTGGTTGAGAAGCATACATGAGAAGGAAAAGACCTGAATGGTCATCGAGTTGTACATGGTATACGGGGTTTTATTGCCAAATGTTACTGAGGTAAATTTTACTTTCTTTTTTCAAAAAGCCTTAGGTGATTGCACAATTAAACCTGCTTCAATGATTAGAAGCCCCACATCAAATTCAGGATGTTTTCCTTCAAACCATAAACAGAGCTGGAAGCAAAGAAATGCTGTCATTGCAGAGCTTGGTCAGTACTGTTTTGGCATGTCTGGGGATAAGCAGCTCCTTGAGGGCAGATAATTAAAGAGGCTGCAGGGTTAGGTGGTCCCTTCCTATGGCTCCGTGCTAAGACCCCAAGAGGGGTGGAGGAGAAGGGAGTGAACCATTAGGGTTGAGTGTTTTGACCCATTTGTTTAACGCTCCTGCTCCTTCCAGGTGAGATGGCGGGCGCTGGGCAGCGCAAAGGGAAAAAAGATGACAACGGCATCGGCACAGCCATCGACTTCGTGCTGTCCAACGCCCGGCTGGTGCTGGGCGTGGGCGGAGCGGCTATGCTGGGCATCGCCACGCTGGCCGTCAAGCGGGTGAGCGTGTGGGACGGTGGGGTGGGACCTGAGCCCAGGGGCAGCGGAAAGAAGGAGTGGGGAACAAAAAGACCCGGGATGCTGGCGCTAGGCCGGCTACGAGGCAAACGTTGGACCCTAACGATTCAGACTGTGCCTGGTGATGTTGCTTTAGATGTACGATCGGGCAATCAGCGCTCCCAGCAGTCCCACTCGCTTGAGCCAGTCGGGAAAGAGAAGCTGGGAAGAACCAAACTGGCTGGGTTCCTCCTCACGCTTGCTGAGCCAGGACATGAAGACTAACCTCAGCCGCTCCCTGCAGACCCTTCCCACGGATCCTTCGGCTGCGGACACGGGTAAGGAGCAGGGTGATACTCCTGCATTCCAGAATCATCCAGGCCCATAAACCCTGTATTCATTTAAAGGAACACAGGAAGGAGAATACTTTTGTGTAGGCCAGGATTTTGATGTTTTTCTTATAAGCAGGTCTACTGGTAACTTCAAGAGTTGGAAGTGAGATTGGGAACTAGTGAATAATAAGTGATCTGTTTGCATTCGTAATTCCTCTCATGACTTCATGGTCTTAAGCTTTATTCTGTCTCAGTCTTTTTTTCTTTCAAGGTGAATATTTCTCTGTGCAATCATCCCTGATAAAAAGCCATTCAATTCCTTTCAATTTCTTTTTTGCCATTCTTTGGACCATTCCAGTTTGTGTCTTTTTAAGAGGGAAATATTCAAATTGTGAATGTCCACCAATTTATAATGGTGTATCCTATATTATTTCTACCATTTTCATAATAGTTTCTGTAATGCTGTTTGCCTGTTTAGTGCTGCTTTTCACTGAGTTGGTCTTCATCAGGCTATAGAAAGTGACCTGCAGTCTTCTTTCTGAGTGGGTTAATAAGTAACGTAGAATCCGTCAGTGTTTGTTATATGTGTTTGGTCGTTTTTTCTCACGAGTTTTACTTTCTATCCCTGGACACTTCAGGAGATTTACACTTGAAGATTTAAAATAAGAATCAGGATCAAGCTTTTAACTTGATTTCTGGATTCTCTGCAAGAAAGTCAGCTTCAGGATGGCAATGGATTCTCTGCTGAGGAGATGTTAAATTACTAGACAGCTGTGTTAAATGGGGTCTAGATCATTTGATTGGAGTCCCCAGAGATAACGATTGAGGAGTAAAACCTCTTGCATTCCTGACTTAAAAATAAGTGAAAACGTAAGATGGAAAAGTAAGTTTGCTCATGAACAGGCAATGAAGTCAGGTTCTCCGTGATTTTGCGGGCTGTTTCCTTTTCACACAAAACCTCAAATCTGTCCAAAAGACCCCAGTGGGACAAGAGACAGCAGCTGCTGAGGTTGGGCGAGATGGGTTCGTGTGCAGCTTGGTCAGCCGTTCTGCATGTGCTGCATGGCCAAGTGCCTGTTGCCAAACAAATGTGCAACAGCTGATGGCCTTAATGGGGCCACCGACCTGGGGGTTTCTCCTGCACCCGTTAAGTACCACAGCCCTTCCAACGATCTCTTAGAGCTGTAGTTCTTCCGTAATTCTCATGGATAATTTCTGAAACTTTTAGTCTGTATTAAGAGAAGTCTGGAAAATAGATGGGAAGCATTGACTCATTTCTTTAGGAAACCAGTCAGAAAAAAAGGGGCTTAGAGAATCTGAGAAAGTTAGACATTGCTTAACAATTCTTAACAATTTCTTGCAGACGGCAGCGTAAAGCGTTGTATTGCTGTATTGTGCCGAAGAGCATGCCTTCTGTTCTTTGGCCAGTGAAAGTTTAAGGAAGGTTTTCGCTGGCGCTCTGTTTGCCTGAGCTTTGGCCCCAAGACCTGTCAGCTCACCATCCTGCTAAGTGTTGATCAGACTCCTAACATCCATTTCACTGGGTTTTGCTGATAATTAGTAAAAATCTATTATAATGTAAAAAACTTAAGGAGATCTCGATGGTTGTTCAAGAGTGTTTTATCCACTGGTCTGGCATCATGTTGAAAGCTTCTGAACTGGTAACTGCTGAATTTTTGATGAAATCGAACTGAGGTACTGCCCATGTAGCCATTAAAATTACTTCCTTGTTCATGATGTTAGTCTTGTTCTGGCTGAATTCCAAATCTAGTAACTTGTTTTCATCTGGTTTGATGCTTGTAGTAGTATCTTTTGAAGTTTCTCAGCACCTCCCTTTTGACTTGGTACCTGTGTAAAGCATGCAAAATGTCTGCTGAAAGCTTTTTAAGGCCTAGGAGGCTGCACTTCCGCGCTGCGGATTTTCTGCCGTGGATCGCTGCGCAGCGAAACACTGCAGACGATCAACAGTTTTCCTTCTGGTCTTGCAGACTTTTTCCGACCCACAAAGCCCAAGCCATCTGCCAAGAGGAGTCAAGTGGAGCTGAAAAAATCCCGCCTTCGTCTGTCTCTGCAAGAAAAGCTCTTCGCTTATTATCGGAGGAAGGTCGCTATCCCAGCGGATGAGCAGGCCCGGGCCAAGCAAGCAGCCGTGGATATCTGTGCCGAGCTGCGCAGCTTCCTACGTGCCAAGCTGCCGGACATGCCCCTGCGTGACATGTACCTCAGCGGCAGCCTGTACGACGATCTGCAGGTAATTCCTGGGGCCGTCTGATGGGTTATTATTCAGAAGGCTGACTAGGCAGGGGCATTCCAGGCTTCCCTGTTCGCAGTGCTGGCTCAGCACAACATTCCTCCGTAATAAGGCTCCTGGTGTTGCCTTTCCCACCGTGGAGCCAGGTGTTGATTTCTGCAGTACTGTTTGAACAGGCGTGACCAGGCTGCTCTGGCGTTGTCTGCAAAGCATTTGCTTTTTGCTGTTTTATTTCTTTGGATTATCTCAGCCCTTCCTTCCTTCTCCTCTGTCTCTCCCTTTTGCTCTGTTTTTCTTGCTGTTTCTACAGTAGACCTCTGTTTTCTCTCTGTCCCTTCTATCTCCTTCTGAATACATGATGCTCCCTTAGAATTCCTGTGTATTCATGTAGGTCTTCCCTACTCTTTTTTTTTTTTTTTAATGCATGACAGACCTGGATTGGACAGCAGTCCCTGCTGCATGTCTCCCTGATGGCAAGATGCCCATGGCTATAGTGAGTGATTCAGAGGCACCCTTTTTTGTTTGAGTCAGAGCTCTGGAATGGAGCGTTGAGTGTCCAGTGAAACTTAGATCTGGGGTCTTAATGCCATTGGTGAAAAGGGATCTTTAATGACCTTTTTCCAAGCAAAGTGACCAGGTGAAGGCAGTACCTAGTTGTAGCATGGGATAATTAAACCATGGCAGCTCAAGCTTGTCTAGAAACTTAATACTCTGCCTCCTGCTTTAAATCTTGTGGTGTTGCTGTGCCCTGAGCCAGCTGCATCTCACATCCAAGGAGTGAACTTTGAGCAATAGGAGGCAAAATGCTTTGTCTACATGCAGTCCGTGTCAGGTCCTGAAGTATTTAGAGATCTCTAAATAGTACATACCATATAAGTACTAGCTTGGGTTATACCTTGGAGTTATCCCACTGATGATGGGAAACAGTCCTTCAGAATGTCTTTTGACAAAGGGAGGCTGTGAATCTCACGCAGAGAGGTGAGACAGCTGAATCCTTTTTCCAAGTTCCTTTGAACAGAAGGCTGTCTAAAGGTGGTGAGTAAGACTGAGTGAGTGTGGAGAGAGAAAGCTTGTTCTTACTGACTTTTTTCCCTTGTGAAAGGTAGTGACAGCTGATCACATCCAGCTCATTGTGCCTCTGATGCTGGAGCAGAACCTGTGGTCATGTATCCCCGGGGAGGACACTATCATGAACATTCCTGGCTTCTACTTGGTGCGTCGGGAAAACCCGGAGTACTTTCCCCGTGGGAGCAGCTACTGGGACCGCTGTGTGGTGGGAGGTTACCTTTCCCCCAAAGCTGTAGCAGACACCTTTGAGAAAGTCGTAGCTGGCTCCATCAACTGGCCAGCAATTGGGACTCTCTTGGATTATGTGATCCGTCCAGCAGCTCCCCCAGCAGATTTGACACTGGAAGTCCAGTATGATCCGGAACGGCATCTTTTTATTGACTTCCTACCATCCCTGACACTGGGTGACATCATCCTTGTGGCCAAACCCCATCGATTGGCCCAGAATGACAATTTGTGGCGACTGAGCCTGCGGCCAGCAGAAACGGCTCGCCTCCGGGCCCTGGACCAGTGTGATTCTGGCTGCCGTTGCTTGTGCCTGAAGATCTTCAAAGCAGTATGCAAGTCAAACCCAGCCCTGGGTCACCTCACTGCCAGCCAGCTCACCAATGTCATCCTGCACCTATCCCAGGAAGAGTCCGACTGGTCCCAGGACATGCTGGCTGATCGCTTCCTGCAGGCGCTGAAGGGATTGATCCGCTACTTGGAGGCAGGTGTCCTGCCTAGTGCTCTGAACCCCAAGGTGAACTTGTTTTCAGAGCTCACCCCTGAAGAAGTGGATGAGTTGGGCTATACCCTCTACAGCTCTCTGTCAGAGCCAGAGGTCTTGCTGCAGACGTAATGGGGCCTTACCTAGGGAAGGGTTGATAGGGTTTAGCCAAGGTGGACTTTGATTACTGCGAAATATGTCTCCTCCACTTCTCTCTCTCTCTCTGTCTCTGTTTGGTTCATTATTATTTCCTGCTGTGGAGTTGGTGCTCCCACTGAATTTCTGGTGCTACTGGTCCATTTCCACCATATCTGCCCCAACAGGTACCCACTGGCTAGGGAAAAGAGGTTAAAACTGCAGCTGTAAGATCGTCACATAAATTCTGCTGATGTTTAAGTATCTACCAAAAAAAAAATAAACCAAACTATGCACTTCTTTCTCCTGTAGTACACTTACTGCAGCAAGTCCATTTTGGTCTGAAGAAGGTGGAACTGGGCTGGTAAATCCAGTGACGATTTTAGCGGACTTGCATTGAGGTCCTTTCCTCCAGTTTGACTTTGCACCATGTTTCTTTTTCTCTGGTGTACCACACTGTCTCACTTTCCTCTTCCCACCCCCCGCCCCACCCCTTTGACCCAGTCATGCAGGGCAGACTGAGATGTTTTGGATAGGGTTCTTTTTTGTATTTCTGAGTGGATAATGATTACATTGGCAGTATTTAGGGCTGTAGAGCTTGGAATAGGAGAATGCCCATGCCCATGGCTCCTGTTTCTTCAGAGCCTTCACATCCTTTGCAAGCTGGATGCAAGAGTAAGGCCTGAGGCTTGTCCTGTCTGCTACAACACAACCTCCAGTATGGACAGTTCTCACTGAAGCTGTCGTAGGGGAGGAAGAAACCTGTGTGGTCTGGCTGTGTGATGAGGCCGAAGGAGCAGGGCTTGCCATTCCTGCCTAGCCAGATCTGCTGGGTGTTGCTGGTGGGAATGGCCCTGGGAATGGAGAACAGGGTGCATCCTTAGATGTCTCTGGCCTAGAGGAAGAGAGGCTGATTATGGGGGAGGGGTGGGAGACACACATGGGAACGGGGATTTCTTTTTTTTTTTCATCTTTTCCCGAAGAGCTTATGGCTGTTCTGGTTTATAGGAGGTGGAAGCAAGACCGCACGCCTCAAAGGCCTTTGTGATAAGCACACGTAAGCCAGATTTTCACAAACGCTTAAGTCTATGAAGGTGATAGGACTGAACTGGTGTCATCAGCAAGGTTCTGTCCTATACAGTGATATTAGGGTACATACGCAGAGCTGGCATTCAGAGATAGGTTGGCTTTGCTGTCTCCTCTCAGTGTGTGTTTTAGTCCCTCCCCAGCCACCTCAGAACTGAGGCTCTCCGTCCCCTTCCTCATTCCCATGCACTGACTTTCCACTGCTCCCAGTTTACAATTACTCTTAGAAAGCTGCTGAGGGCACACCTTCACATTCTGTCTGTTTGGACCTGTTGGTAATGCAGTTCTGCCCGCTGCTGTTTATGGCTGCTCTCAGGCCCCTCTCCCTTGGCTGCCCTCCCAACTGCTGCTGGACTCCAGTACGGGTTTGGGGGGCAGCTGCTGCACTGTTGGTATCTCCTAAACTAGCCACGTAGACTCTGTATACTCTGCATTAAGCCTTCTGACCTCCTGCCCTCAAAAAGCGGGAGGGAGGGTGTCCTCCCTGAGTCTAGGACTTTGTCTTTCTCCAAAGACCAGCAGGACTATCTTACAGAAACGTAGTTGCCTTTTCCCAGGTTTAGCACCTTTTTTCCCCTTGCTGTCCAGCGTCTGCAGCCAATGGGGAGGGGTACTGCAGCAGCAGAATCTGGAGGGAGCAGGAAT